CAAGAGTTCAATGGGAGCCAAAATGTAGGTTTTGCAAAATGCATGAGAGCCGCAGTTCTGAACTTTTTTACTCTGTACCGCAATTTTATTATATAATATAAATATGATATAAAACAAATATTGAATTTTTTAATAAACATATTTTCACAAAATTGTGGAAATAAAATTGTAAAAAAAATAATAAAAAGCAGAAATTAATACTTTCAGCAAGAGCCACATGTAACTCAAAAAGAGTCACATTTGCCCATGTCTGATATATTATAAATAAGTTATATTAAATATATTTATTACATGTACTGCATTCTTTCATCAATACATGTACAAGTTAAACTATGATAGAAATGATGAAAGAAAGAAAAAATGGAAGAAAATAGTATGTTTAAGTGATTATAGAACATTGTGATGTAAAGCATTTGAAAATATACTCATTGACAAGAAAATTATGCACCCACATAGAATTTTTCAAATACTGCAAAATTTGGCATTCACTTATATTTCAGACAAGCATGACTGCAATACAAAGGAGATTCACCAAGGGAAAGTGTCTCCCAAGAGGAGTTTGTGGGGACTTGCCCCCAAAGCCCTCTTTAGGTGTCAGACAAATGAAGAAAGCTCAGAAAATGCCATGTAGCCAGCCTTTTGATAAGACACAAACTTGCAACTACTGTGCAGTAGTAAATGATTACAGTGAACTTCTATGGGTATACCTGTAGAATACTGGAGTAGCAATTTTTTGGAGCTCTGCTGCATTACCTGGCATGCAATCAGACTACAACTGTTCAGAATTTTCAGTGTACCTGTTGTTTGGAGGTTTTTGAACAGCAGATATGCCTATACAGTGCAGTCAAAGACCTTATACATAACTGACAGAGTTTGAGAAAGATTGCATTGTCAAATCGAGGCAAGCAGATTGTCCAGTTTGAAAAAATCTTGCCATCTGGGCCCTTCTCATCTAAAGAGAATGCACTGTTACATATTGGCAGTGTATCAACTTTAGCAATAGATCTCTAGTCTGTTTGGAAACAGACAACTATTATTATAATATGGTAGACCATTGGTGAGTGCTTTAATCCTGCCTTTACTATTGAATGGCATGCTGTTGATATGCTGGTCTAGGGAGTCATCTTGTATGACAACAGTTGTGTAAGGCATCCTCATATGTTGGTTGTCTTTCCTGGCAGGGCTACAAACAGCTGTGGGTGTTTGCCATATCATTTGTATATTATATAGAATTTTATCATACTTTCATTTCATTCTTTCACTTTTCTTTATTCTTGATTTTCTTTTGTTTCATTTTCCAAGAAATTCAGACCAAACCCTTCCCTAATAGGGTGGGGCAAAAAAGTTGAATCCGATTGATGTGCAAGAAGAACATTCAAGACCATTGGGTATCCCTGTCCTAGATCTCTTCTTCTTCCTTCCTCTATCTGTACATATATCATCTTATTTTAGTCATAAATAGGTTAAGATTAGTTTAAGGATGTGCTTGTAAAGTCCCAAACTGTTATGTTTGTTATTTCCAGGACATAAGGTTTGTGATGGAGCCAGTTTTATACCATGAAATCCTGTATATAATTGTATCGCGAGTAAAGGAAAAAACAAGGGACTTGTCTTGGAGTTGGGACCTGCTAAATTCTTGTTCAAATACAAAAATACAAGTTTTTGTGTTTTTTGAAAAAATTATACCTTGTATATTTCTCATTTCAATACGAATGATACCATACAGCCAATTTTCAGTAATACAGGTAACCCCCATATAACATGGCACTTCTATAGCACGGATTCGCTCTAACACGGTTTGAGAATTGGTACCATCCCCCGTATAACACTGTATTTTTATAGCACGGATTCACTCTGACACGGTTCGAGAATTGGGTAAAACCCTCGTACAACAGGAAATGTAATAAATTTTTATGTACTTAAGTAATAATAATTCACGAAAATAATAATTTTCGTGAACTATTAGTACTTAAGTATGTAAATTTTCTCTTCTCGCCTTCTGTCGATACACGTGGTCCTTCTCGAAACTTGTTTCAATGTTGCCAGATCGCGACGCTTCTGCTTCTGATGTTGCCGAATGTTTTTCCCTTATTCCATACTTGCTTTATTCTTCATAAGTGCTTAGCACCATATAAGGAAATTTATAAAGACCTTTTAACTAGAAGCAAGCAATCTAAAATTACATACATTTTGCAAAAGGTAAAGCATGGATCTGAAGATAATGCAGAAAAATGCTCAGAGGATAAGGATAACTTGCCAAAAAGAAAACGCTCTCGGTTAATTAATAGTGTTTTTAGTGATGACGAAGAAAACATTGTTTAATTTATATTAATATGTATCACTTAAAAAAATTTTAATGAAGATATTTATCTTAATTATGAAAATATACTAGCATGTTTTTTAATTTTTGGAACCTAACCCTCCTTTTCGTATTAGTTCTTTGTTTCGTATAATATGGATTCGCATAACACGGCAATTTTTTGGAACGTAACTACCATGTTATAAGGGGGTTACCTGTACTTGGCAACAGCTAGAGTTTCCTAGGAATGTCTGTCATGTTGCCACACTTTTTTGACCTGTCTAATCTCCAATTTGTCACCCATCAAGTATTTGTGAGAGTAAATGGTATGCTGACTTTGACCATGTGAGAGTGTGAGGATCTATAGTAGCAATTGCAATATCTATGGGCAGATCTTTCACAGGATAGTGTATAGTGCCGCTGTATGCTCCATGCTTGACTGTATCACCACATTTATTTAGCCAAGAGGAGACCCTAAAGGTTCCTTTAAATTGTATCCTTTTACGCAGGAAATTGTTCCTTTGCTATGATGGTAATCACTTATTACCATGGTCATTACATTTGCACTAATAACGTTTTATTCAATTCCCACATCTCCTCCTTGATGTCTAAATGTTTTGTCAATGAGTATATGCAACAATAAATATTATATCATTTCATTTTTTTTAAATTTACAAAACAAAACACAAAAAATAAAGAAAATTTTGTTTTACTTGTTTACTAGTAAAATTTAAATGTAAAAGCAATATTGTCTGATTTATAATTATATTTCATTACAAGAAACCTGCTTGTTTCACTTTTAAAAACTGACTTTTGAACATTGTGTTGTTGAATTCTAGATATTTAATTTTATAAATTAGTAATGTAATCATTTAAATTTTTAAAGGTCCTTTTTTACGAACACTTAATGAAACTTTAGGAAATTTGTATGGACCAAAAGAGGATGAGAATTTCGATGGAACAGATAATCGTAAGTACTGGTAATAAGAAAAATATTTTTAACATCTTCATATACAGTAGATCCCCCTATAAAACTGTTTCCTATAGTTATGATTCCTATAAAAATTGTGGCCGTATCCGTAAACAACGGTAAAAATAACTCCTATAATACGTAAAACGTCATCGGGCAGCCGAACTACTTTCCCGCCGTCCGTAGCGCCACGCTACGGACGTTTAGGCGGATAAATTGAGTTTAGTATCGTCTGTTCATATAATTATATATAAATTAGGTACTGTACATATAATTATATATTAATTATATATAAATTAGGTACTGTATATATAATTATATATTAACTTAATTTATTGTAACTTTATTATAATTAAATATATATTTTTCGCCGTCTAGCGTCACGCTACGGCGAGTTAGGCGACCTATCGTCTGTCCAGTACTGTAATTTTATACATTTCTTGTGAAAGAAACATTTCTTATTTAACGGCCATAAAAATTATTTATATTAAGGATGTCTCCAAAGGTCAACGAAGTTTTCGCAGAAAAATAATATCAGAAATCGCGGC